TGTATGAAAAGATCCACCTTTAACTAAAGTGTTTTCCTAACCAGTCCCAATCCCAGAGAGCTTAATAGAATGTGATTTGAGTCTGTGCTGCAGCACTGCTTCATCACATCCAAACTAGGCTCAGTGGGTTTATTGCATCATGAGACATGAAGACTTCTATCTGCACAATCTTTTCTTTACCTATCCTTGCTTTTATACTGTTCACTGTTCTTTATTTCGTGGTCTTATATAAATTATATGCATTGTGAATTATTTTTGCCTTTACAGAATTCATCAAAAGCTGCCCAGACCCCATCTCCTTGGGGTGCCAGTGGAAAGTAAGTTCTCTTGTCACGTAGAAACTTATATCAGACTGGCTGTCAGAAATTATGTTTTCTTACCTGCAATACATTCTGATACTCTCATGTGTTTAATCCCACCACCCTTTTAAGTAACTGTGTTAACATCCAATTTCAGGAGCACAGGAACTCCATCACCCATGTCCCCTAGCCCTTCTCCAGTCAGCTCTGTAGGATCCCAGGGGAGCACAGGGGCCCCTTCCCCATCTCCTATAATCAGCATCCCGCAGCGCATTCATCAGATGGCCGCCAACCATGTCAGCATCACCAACAGCATCCTGCACAGTTATGACTACTGGGAGATGGCGGACAACCTGGCCAAGGAAAACAGAGGTGAGTGATTCAGTGCACTGGACTATTTTAGAACAACGCATACTTGATTTTGGTCGGGTAAAAATCACTGATCTATTTTGATAAGGGCAATGTCCACAAGGAATGACTGCAGAGTTGATTTTCCTTTCAGTTCCAGTCTGTCCCAAAATGTAGCCCGAAAGGCAGTTCTGATAGCTCTCTCACTCAGAAGCAGCAGTATAGCACTAATTTTTATCTTTCTTTGGCTGACCAGGACAGGTGCAGACAGCACAGTTAGCAGCATAGCTGTAGGTAGTACTCGCTGCCATCTGTGTCGTTCTGGAGAAGAAACTTTTTGGGAGGTGAGGCAACTCCCTGCTCCTCAAAATCATGGAGTTGAATGGGATGCATTTAGTTTGGCCATATCAAGAAATACGAGCTTCTTTCCTTTTTGCAGAAGGAACGGACTCTCCCTGCCCTCCCCCTTACACACACGCACATACAGGTAGACACAGAAGGGCATGAGGTGCCTTCACCCCCCCTTAAGGCAAACTTCTCTCAATTGAACTGGTTTCCCTGAGTAAAAGCATTCCCAGCATTTGACTTGATTATGGTTTTATGGTTCCTTGGTTTTAAAACTGTGTAATTTATATATCTAAGCTAGAGATGTGGCAGGATTGAAATCAGAATGAGGATACGTAAGTGTAGGTGTGTATATGTGAGCTGGGAACCCAGGCTCCTGTTATAATTGATGGAGCTTTGGTCAATACAAACAGCAGAGCTGAGAAAGCTCTTCAGTTCACCCTGGAGGGGACACAGGGGTGCAACTCAGTTGCCTAAACAGAGGTGCCAAATGCTGTTTGAGGTCTTTTCCCACAGTGCCATCCCAGAAGTCTCCTGTATGTCTTGTGTTAGATCTGCCAGTCCAGAGTGGATATCTCAGTTGCCTGCGGGTGTCTCAAATGGCACTAGATGCCTGTATGTAGGCAACTGAATTAAACCCTTAGTGGCTAGTTAGCCAAATTACTTTTTAGTCTGGGATGATCATGTTGTACAGGTCTCTATTTGACTGTCACAGCAGTTTAGATATCTAGCATATGTATAGATAGACGCTTGTATGTAAACTTTTGGACTTAGTTGTCCTTAATCTCAGAATAAGTCCCGCCCAGCATCTGTTTGCTTTATCAAGGCTTAACAGAAATGCAGAGCCAAAGAACTGATGATTTTGTTCTTTAAAAAGAAAACTGCATCAGCCCATAGTATCATGAACCACAGGGCTTTAGAATGAATCTCACTGGCACTAAACTTTCATTCCCATGAAATGTTCAGCTTGACTCAATTTGCAAGAGAATAAAATCTACTAAAGGGTGACAAACAGAGAATACAACTTTGCTCTTCTAATGCTGAATCTTTTTTTTGTTACAGATTTTTTTAACGACTTGGATGCATTGATGGGACCTGTCACCTTGCACAGCAGTATGGAGCATTTAGTTCAGTACACTCAACAAGGACTTCACTGGGTGCGGAATAGCGCTCACTTGTCATAATGACTGTGTGCCATTCACGTGGACTGTATAACTTCCATGGATAATTCAGTTATTCTGGACACTGTGCTACAGAAATAGTCAGCCACAGCATTGATCCAAACAAAGGTGAATATTTCTTCAATGTTGAACAAACTTTTTCTGAGTGTAGACATGTACGTGTGCGTATATACGATATACAGTGATGTCTCTTCAGAATGAATTGTTCTGTACCACTCTCCAAACATTTTCGTACACTAGAAATAATAGAAAGAACTGATCTTAATACACAAAACATATCCTTTCTACTCTCGTGCTGAAAAACTCAGAAATCAAAATCTCATGGGTTGGTTGAACCAAGTGCAGTAAGCACAAATCCCTATTCAGCAAAGCTCTCAGTAGACTCTTAAATTTAAGCTTGTACTGAAATCCCATTGACTTCAGTGGAGCTTAAGCACTTACACAAGGGCTTTCCTGAACTGGGATGAATGGGGGCAAATCACGGCCATGGAGAACTTTTACTGAGAGCACAGATGCCACAGAAGTTTCAGTATTAAAGTTCCATCTTGCTGTTACTTCCCCACTGGGACACACAGAGGAGTCGTGTAGACTGCATTAATATGGAGAAAGAAGGCATTCCTTCACGTGCAATAAGTTTCAACAGATTGCAGGCATTTCTTTATCTCCTGTCTTTTTAAATAACCACACCTCTTCTTCAGCTCCTCACCAACAGTATGACCTACCGTTTCAAGTAAAAAACCTGAAAAACAGATATGCTAATAGCAAGAACTTAAAAGAGACTGTGGAAAATTGCATTCTGTTACTGACAGCAAATAGATAAATGAAAAAAAAATTGCAAACTGCAATCCACTTAGTAAAGAAAATGTATAAATTCCAGCTGCGTATACACAGAGAGACAGAGAGATATCTGTAACATTTGTTGGCTTTGCATGGGAAGGCTTCATCTTACAGATTTTGATTTTTGTATCTTTTTCATCCAGCAGAAGCTTGCTGCATTTTCTTCTAGGCTGTATGGGAACATTACATGCAATTTCCTTTATCTGGGAAGCTGAGTTTGCTGCTTACCAAGCTAAGAACTGTTTCTATCATAATCCTCTCACTCTTCATGCATAATCCTCAACTAGGGTTTAATGTTTCTTGATTTACAGAATGTTTTCAGTTCCTGTTGACAAGCTGTTTTTGGTACCAGGGGATTTAATCCTGCAATAATTGCAGTTGAATTTGGGTCAGCTGAGGTCAAGACCAGTTCCTAACAGCTATGTTTGCATTTAGTGCTTTTTTTTTTATTTTCAGTAGGTTTGGCACATTTAGTTTTCTTCTTCTGTATTGGAAATGTAATTTTGTTGCCTATTTTGCAGTCAGATTTGCAGCCCTTACTCAGCTCAGCAGCTCCAGTGACTTCAATGGACTCTTCTTGCCACTGCCACTGACGGGACCCTTTGTTTGTTATTTTCTAATCTAATTTACTTATATATTAAGGAAATACGAGTACAAAAAAACTCTTTCAATAGAAGATACAAATAGAAGTAGCCACTAATATTGATGGTTGATCAGCTACTCCCTGCTGCCTTTTTTTCTCCCCCATTTTTGAAGAGCTGCATTAAAAATAATAATAATAATATGGCATATTTTCTCATTAAAACATCTTTGGTAAGACAGGCTATATTTACCCAATGGTAAAGAGCAGGTTTGAGAGCACATTGAGCTTGACATAGCTGCATTTTTTTTTTTGTCTAGGCTATTTAACTATAACTCCAGCTATTGCTCAGACTCAGAGCACTGACACTGTCCTTTGAAGCAGCCCAGCAGGGTAGCTACTGGGGAATGCTCAGCCCCCGGCCATCCTAGGCCAGTGTTTATGTACCAATTGGTGCTCGCATCCTTCCTCCTCCAGAGAGCTCCTGAGCTCCAGGAACTTCTTAGCATGGGCTTGTGTGTTATAGCGTGGGTAGTGGGCAAGGCTGGCTTTAAGAGTGAGCATGGACCTGCCTTTAAATGACAAAGTAAATGTTCTCTGAGTCCTCCAGTGATTCTTAACTCCAGCTGTTACCTGCCCCAAAAATAACACAAATTATTTCATCACAAGTATCAGTGGGGAATTTGATCAGTGCCTTTCTGTTTATTACTTTCCTGGTTTTCAGCTGTGGAAGTCTGCCCTGATTTACTAGACTGAATTCTGTGAGCTGCCATAAGCAATGGATTCTGTGAGCTGCTTCAATACTGTAGGAAGGTACTGTGGGATTTCTCCTCAGATCAGGAAAGTGAAATTCCCATTAGATTAGTTTCTGTTTTCTTCGATGGTGCCTGTGATATTTGTCTTCAGATAAGTTTTTTGAGTTTGGAAGTCCTTATTGCTATTTAATGTTGAGCAAATTTAGAAGCAACATATATTACTTGCCTTAAATGGAGTTTAGTTTTATTGCACACTTAGCATTTGAGTTTCAAGGAGGGAACTTTGAAGCATGTTTATTTTATTAAGATTAGGATATTTTTCCTAATCATAATGAACTCTTCGTATGGATGTCATATGTCAAGCCACTTCAAAGAAATGCAGGAATTAATGCTGTTGTATTGTCACGTGTTTCCGAGTACTTAGGATCTATTGTAGATGATTGTCCTTTCCTGTAAATTGTTCTTGTATTGAAGTATTCCAGCTAAAAGACCCGTTGATTTCTGATTTTTTTAGTTTTTATGCTGGCATCATCTATGTTGACTATCTGATGAGCACTCTGAGCCTTAATCTCTGGTGGTGTAACAGGATGAAGTAGCAGCCATTTAAACCAACTAGACGTATAAATGGATTAGAGGTTTTGGCCTTCTCTCCATAAGGCTTCTTACAGCTGGACTGTTTTGGTGAGGTTGTTCAGAATACTCTTCTGGGTAGACTATTTACTATATATGGTTGCAGCTGTTTGGATGACTGGAGCTGAATGCGGCATGGTGACAACAAATCCTTCCTTTCATTTTCTTAGGGCCTGATCTGGAAAAGTGCATGTGGTTTTAAGGTCTGGTCCAATCAAGCATATGCTTCACTTTAAGAACCTGAATAGTCCTGTTTATTTCAACAGGAGCTGAAGGTCCTCTGTGCATTCTAGGTGAGACCAGTGGAGATTGTTCTTATTTGAGGTTCCATGAAAGAAGCTTATTCATTTTAATCTGTTGTTAAAGTCCAGGAATGTGTAGGCTTCTTTACACCGCAGCAATTTGCAGGTTCATTTTGCAGAAGTAAGAAGTCATTCTGTAGAAATCCAGAAGGATTATGCCTGGAGGGAGAGGTTTGTTTACAAATGAACAGACGCTTCTGAATCAGTCAGGGCTGGTAAAGCAATTGGGATGCACTCAAAGGAACCACATAGCGCAGGTGCGTACAACCAGGGCAGGGTAGCTTATGGGATATTCAGAGACAGCAAGATTATACAGACCCCACTGGCCTTAACCTTTTATGGCATTCCTCGGTGGCATGAATGACAGATGAGAGTAAAACATATACAGAGGCTCAAGTGTGGCTAAAAACTAAGCATAGTCCTCACATCATATGAAAGGAAATCCCAGTCCCTTGCTTGCCTATTTCTTTTAATCCAAATATCACAGGGCTCCAGAGGAAGAGACTACAATGAACAGAGGACTTTACGAAAGGAGGTTAAGGAAGATCAAGCCCTAAGTGTAGATGCAAGCACATATGTATATACTGTAAATCTAAATAGTAATAAAAGTCATTCAGCATGAAGGATATTACTAGTGCCTGCCTGCCATTGATCATCAAACACCTATCACTGAGCAGCCATATCACCTCAGAAGTGCAGTAACTGTTAGCAAAATAATTTGTGCAGCTAATTAATTTATAAGAAATGCCCCTTTGGGATTGTGCCATAGTATCTCTTTTGTAATACAAATGTTCAACCATTTTTCATAGCTACTGATACAAATCTACATCACTGAAATGTCAGGATATCTTTTTTCCTAGATGAGGACATATACTTAGACCTGGCTAATCTGTGCTTAGTTTATCTACCCAAGAGACTTTAGTAGTCACCCGCCTTAACGCACGTACAGCATATACTATTGACTGACTTAGTTGTAGTTTTTAATACAAATGAAATTGGAATTTGCAAAATGACTTGGATTAATGGCGTCTGCCTCTGCATCTCTGCAGATGTGACATTAAATGTTTCATGTTTTTAAGCAGGAAAGGTTGAATTTTTTTGTAAATAACAGTGGCTGAATTCCTTGATCTTTTTACAAGATTTTTGTAAATTAAAAGATTGTCAAAGCAATATGTTTTTTTACTCTCCTAAATTTTCTGGAGGGTCATGAGTTCATGGTCAAAGCTATATTAAGAACATCTCCTTCTGCGATATGCCTTGCCTTTACCTAATCCGCTTAACGCTTAGTATGTCAAAAAGAAATGTTTCTTTTTCACAATGATAGCAATGTTTCCCTCCCCCCATTAAGGCAGAATCCTCAAGCTAAAGAATAAAATCTCCTAACACAATAGAAATACAAACAGTGCCTGAAGAATATGAATTTGTTAAGATAACGATAGGAGTTTGGGTGGCACAGATCTAACATGCCTCTCATTTTGATAACTTTTTGTTAGCATTTACACCACATATTTAAAGTCATTGTGTTTGAAACTAGAGAATTACTCTGATTCTCATGTCATAAATAGGCCTGATGGGCCTGATCACTATCATAATTGTTGCATTAGTTGATGTGCTGTGTGCCGAAGGCTGGTGAGGCACCACGGATAAATTTGTCAGAATGCATTCAGAAAAGCATTTGGATGCTCTTACGTCTAGAAAACTGGACAACAGTGTCTCTCGCACAATACTGTTAGCATGAAACTTTGGTTACTTTAACATCTCTCATAAAGGTGCCATTGCCTTCAGTAAGGACAATGCTCCATTTCCAGCATTACTGGGGTGAATCCAGCATTACAGCATTACTGCTGTGAATTTTTTTTAATATTAACTAACACATTGGGAAAGTCACTTTGGGAACTGTTTTCCCTCACTGCATAGAAGAAAACACTTACACTGAGATTTGGAACGTCCAAGGCTCTATACGTCTTTCTCTCAAAAGAGTATGGTTTTCCTCAGTGAGAAAGGCAGGATTCAACTGGGGATATTTCCTCAGGTAATTCCTTTGTGTCTGCGTACTGCCTGGCTCCATTGTGCTTGCTAGTCTTCAAGTATGCATGCACTTTCAGGGCTGTTTTCTACTTTGGCAGCCCAAGCTACCCTTCAAACAAGGTGCTGGAGCATGGAGCAAGCAAGTAACCCACAAGTGGCATAAAAGGCCCTGCTTTCTCCCGCAATGCCAGCAGCAAATACAGTGAGACTCCCTCTCTTTCCTGATGTGTAGTTTGAATTTCACACTGTTTGCTTTTCCTCCAAATTCATCACTGCTTTCCCCACTGCTACTGCTGCAGAATAACCAGAATACAATTTAGGTTCAGGTCAGAGCAGAAGCAAAAGCTATAGGGGAGAACACAGAGCAGTGGAGTGACAGCCTCTGCCGATATGAACTCTCCTATAGCTATAGTAATAAACTGCTTCTGCTCTGACCTGAACCTGAACAGCGTTTTGGTTATTCCACAACACCACCCTCTAAGGGCTCCAGTGAGTGCAAGGAAGACTAAAGAATGCCAAAAAATTGGGGATTTCCTCTGTCCCACGGCACATATTCCTTTTTGGGAGAGAACATAGAGAGGAGCATGGATTATAAGGCACTCAGATCTCATGTTCCTCATATATACTAACACAGGGATACTTAAACTTATCTGCCTCATAGGGCTTTATGAGAATTAATTAATGTCTGAAAATCACTTTGCATCCTCAGAAGGAAAGTGCTGTACAAGAGCTATGGAAAAAACTGCTAAGCACATTGGATGAATTTCACCCCTGAGTCTAGAGCTACAAGACCCTTGAACTCTTAAATACCACGTAAGCTCTCAAAGTAAGTGCCAGAGTATATAAAAGCTCTGCTTAGCACTGAGGGGAACCAGAGCCTAGGTGAAAATGCCATTCCCAGAGTATCCATAACTTTGATCCTGGTGGAAAGCAAGAATCACAACAGCACCGAATAGGACAGACAGTGCAGGCTAACCACGTGGTGTGCAGCCTAAAAACTTTAAGGTTCTATATATGTCTTTAAGTCACTTTGTCTTTCTATGGAAGAAATTTGCCTCCCAAATCTTACCGAGTCTATTTCTTCTGAACAGCCTCAGAAATGTTCAACTTCTTTGTTATGCCAAATCCAGCTTTGAATTACTCCCAATCAATGGGTATTTTCTTTAAAATGGTGCATTGCAGAGGAGACTGGTTGCTTTTGGGGATATAAGAAAAAAATATGTACCTCTATGCATCTTTTTGTGATGCACATTACCAGTAACTCATCCGGTAAGTCAGGTGGAGCTTATGTTGGCAATGCAATGTTCAGGGAGTTACCTTCCCAAAGCCCGCTGCTGTTAGCTGGCATAACAGGGTTAAATTCCCAGTGCTTTTCTGACACATTACCTCTACAAGTTAGCAGTAAAGCACTTCATCAATGCCAGGGAACGAACACCAATCAATCAACAAAATGTTTCTGTTGCTTTTGATGCTATTCAGACAATACTAACAAATCCATCCTTACTTAGCACGATTTATTGTTTTTTTCCTCCATTTAGCACTCTTCTATCTGGAATTCTCATCCCATCAACAGACATTTGAAAGGAAACACTTCTTGGGGGAACAAGCTAGACATAGATAAGACTTATGAAAGTATAGGCTCTTCTTAGTCTTTTTGTCACTTCTATGACAGAAAATACTTGTATTTAAAAAGCATATTTTTATTTGCAGTTGAGATTTTGGGGCCTGCCTTCATCCATGACAAACAAGTTTGTCTTCCAGTTGCGTAAAGTGCTGCCTGGGGACATGGGGACTTCTAGCTTGCCCCAGCAAATCACAAATAGTTAATTAGATCCATGATCGATACATTGATTAATTTTATATGTCCTCAGTCTTTCGTTTCACCTTCCTGATCGCACAGCTTGCTCTTCCTGCAGCTCTAGACATTTTCTTCCCCAACTCCATCTCCCAAGGAAGAGAAGGGAGACACTGATATTACTCACACAAGAAAAGATGGACGACAGTGCAGAGCTGCTCTGAGCAGTTCAGGACCTTCCTGTTTTCTTCTCTTTCCCACCCAACTTGTGGGACTTGGCTACTTTCTCCCATTATTCCTTGTAAGAAATTTCTGTTCCCTCCTGAGGAAAACATACTGAGCACCACTGATGCTGTGCACAAATGCTGATGGGCTCTTCTCAGGGTAAGAAGGGAATGGAGGAGGCTCCTAATCTGGGGTATCTCCCAGCACAGCTGTGCAAGGGATCAAAAATCTAGTGCTGGTGACTCAGAAGCCCCTGTGGGAAATAGCAGTGCAGTCAGAGGAATTACCGCAATGTCTCCAGGCCTAGTAGCCATGGGCTCACATTGTGCTATTGATTTGCTTGAATGAGCGTTGCCACTTTATGACCCTGCACTAGAACCAGGAGGAACTAGTGGCTTCCTACCTGTGCAAGGCTCTTTTTTTGGGTAATGTTGACACAGTCAGCATTATAACAATGCATGGAGGTCAAATAGCAAGAGAAGTTGGAACGGGAGAGAATAATGTCCTGACCTCAACACTGAAAGTGGGATTCATCTCATCCTGTATTGAAGGTCTAAAATAAACAAGATGAATCACACACTAGAAATGCCTCTTTCTCTCTCTCCACTGTCTACAGAGGGAATCTAGGTGATGGACTCAGATACAGAGGCAATATAAATCCCATCCCAGGTTTATGATTGTACCTGCTGCTATGGAGAGAGCCTGCTGAAATCGGTAAAATATCTTTGGATGCGCTGATGCAGGATATGGCTGAGATCGCTTTGGGAGGTAGCAGACATGCAGGAAAATATGTATGGGGTAAATACATTTATTCCTGAAATATTTAAAACATTTATCCATATATTTTGGATTTGGGCCATCACTTCCCATTCTCTAATTCACAGGGCCCAAATCCAAAGAGGTAAGTAGTTACTTGAGGCCTGAATGTGCACCTGTATTCTATTAAGATTACTGAAATATCCCGATTACTGAAACATCCAGAAGATGTATTTTACAGTTTAGTAAACATGCAAAGGTACTTTTTTTTCATATGTTGTCTGAAAGTACAGCTGGCTTTCTGTAAACAGAAGAAACAGTTTTTCTGTAGCTTGTGAAAGAGATCAGATTGGCCATGAGCCAATATTAGGCCAATATTACTCTTTTTATGGAAATTCAACAGCATTTGTCAATTCGTTATGTGAAAGAACTGAAACAAACTTGCAATTTTATCCACGATGAACAGGCTGTAAGCAACACAGGGCCATCTAAAGCTCTTGACCTGCCTGCACAACAGCAGCCCCATAGCAGCTCCGGGGGTATTCTTGGACGTAATTTGAGGCAAGGCATTTCCCTTGCCTCCCTCTACTGTCAGTGGAGACTGAAAGAGCAGCTTCTTTAGTGAGACATTCAGAGCACTTGAATTAAGCTTTGCTTGTCGTGCCATTTGTAAGCTGTCTCTTTCCACTGACTGCAAAAGGAGCCTTGGGAGACCAGGCAAAAGAGCTGCGCAGCGTGCGTGCTTCTACCTGCACAGAGGCCAAGGCAAACATGTGGTCTTCAGGAAGCCAGGCCTTCCTGTGCAGTGCCATTACTGCATGCTGACCACAGTAGGCTGAAGTTATAACCAGTGTAACAAAACACGGCACATAAAAATGCAGACGTCGCCTACGACAGCTTCCTGCCTTCCTGCGTGTGTTATGAACGGATCTCTGGACTGCTGCGGTGTCTACCGACCTGGAGGAACCCAGGCCATGTCGCGATAGACGTCCTGCAAAGTGGACGATAGACTCCGCTCCAAAGAGTTATCATCTCACAAAAGCCAAAACCAAACTGCACAACGGGGTGGGGGGTGGGGGGGGGCGAGAGACACAAGCGGGTGGGGAAGAGAGTACCGCGTGGCCAAAATCACAGCGTATTCACATCTGTCATTACTTATCCAGTCAGTACCAATAGTCACGGTAATCGGCATTTTCCTTCTCCTTTCCTAGGTGGTGTGTAGCACCAGTGGTTGAAATAGGCATGTAGTGGTCCCAGTTTGGGAGCCAGCCATTGGCTTGCCTCTTGAGAGACGTGTTGGAAGTGCAGGGAGCGTTCGGTGGGATACTGGCACATTTCAACTTTCCCCTCCCTCCTCATTTCACACAGCAAACTTCTAATGGAGAGTACTTGTCCAGCGGAGGTGTACAAAAATCAGTTTGTGACCAGCATTATTTTTGTAACCAAATGCAGAGAATTTCGTTTCCACATTTCATTTATAGCCACACGCACCAGCAAATTCTTGTAAAATTACTCAAGTCAGTATGGCTGTATTTGTAGCTGATAAAGTATTGCTTCTCTCAAATGGTGCTCTATTTGAGGCCTCACCCACCCAGCCACAGCTATAGCAGTTTATTTTCCAATGAGCATAATCCCACAATATGACCCTATATAGCAGGCGATATTGTTTACACAGCTTAATAAATGGAGTATTCTGTACAGTAATTTATGCTGTAAGATATGTACATATATCACTGTAGCAGTCACAAATGCTTTAAACTGCCTTATTTATTAGATCAGTTAGCATTTCTCCCCTTGCTCCAGAATATTTTAAATTATTTTTATCTTTTGCATTACATTATTTTTAGTTACTGCATTTTGACCCAATTATTGGGGGGGAAAAAGGTCTTTACAATAAATAGATATTTAAAATTTAAGTAGAAATAGCAAATTCACCGCCCGTTCAACTGATATAGCTCTGATTATGATTAAAAATAAATATCGTATACTCTTATCTGTGTATTATAGCATATGCCAGAAACCATATATCAGTTGTGATCAATACAAACAACAAGAGCTTTAGTAACTTTCACCTTGCACATTCCTCCATTCTGAGACAAAAAAATAATAGGCCACTTAATCTAAAATGTTCCCCATGAGAGCCCTAGTCTTATTCCTTCCTCAGGCGGAACTCACATTGCCTTCAGTGGGAGCTCTACCTAGGTAAATGTACAACATAAGGACATTATAAAAATAAATATATCACAAATGAACAGTACTTGTGCTTGGTAGTCATCCCTATTTTCTTTTCGTAAGAAACATAGAGTAAACATTACATCTGTAACTCTCCTCTGTCTCCCGCCTCCCTTTTTGCTATACAAGTAAAAAATTGAGATTCTTAAACAATTGTATTGGTTCCATTCACTCGAGCAAAATATAAATCTTACAGGGATCAGTTCCGATTCAAACTAGAAAATAAAATGTTACTTCTGTTTGTTTTCATGTTAAATTCTGTCACACAATTAAACAGGTTCATGCATACAAAGGCAATGAAGTTACAGATGATTTGTTTTACTGTTTGGAGATTTTGCTATGTCCACAGTTCATATAAAACACATGTAGCACAGTTTCTAGGATGGTGAAAAATCCTACTGTAATGTAACAGAATGAGCCTTAAGGATTTGTAAGAATAAGCACTTTTATATTAAAAAGCAAATATTAATTCATCAGTAAGATTACTTTTTTAATGTGACAATAAACCATGAAATCAACATCCTTCTGTCTCAATTACATCTCATCTGTCTCTTTCTTAAACCTTTTCCCGAGTGAAAAAAATTGTCTCTTTTTTTCTTACGGCTTTTGGGTCCGAGCAGAGTCACCTGTGCTCCTGGCTAAGCCACCTACCCTTCTCCACACTTCATTCATGGGTGAGATCATTTGAAGCCTTCCTGTGGGGAAGAAGGAAAGGCACATCCAAGTGGCTCCTATTAACAAGGCACTGGACTGAAGTGAGCTCCACAGAAAAAGAACAAAATGCCCCAAAAGAGGTTAAAGAGTTTTTAGCCTCTTTCTTCAGGGAAAGGAGAACAGAGTCACTGCTATTATTTTTTAGAGCAAGGCACAGGATGACTAAATAACCAATCCAAACTTCTCAGGGTTTATTTAGATTTAGCTCCTGCTCCTCGAAGCACTACTGTCTGTAAGTGGTGGCAAGAGAGCCATGACCTCAGCAATTGTACAGCAGCAGTTCACAATTTATAGGCTGACATTGTGATAAAACCATACAAAATGCAGGACTCAGTCACTCTGTGCCTTGCCTTGCCCTGTCCAGACGCACACCTTTTTCCCTGGCGATTTCCTGATTCCTACAGCTTCTTCCCACATAAGGTTGCCATCTTCAGAAGTACTTACCCCAGCATGCCTTTCTGGGCCAAAGCCAAAAATGCTGCTCTTATAGCATGGCCATTTTGCAAATGGTAGCTTCCAGTGTGCCTTTCTGTTTGATCAGTACCGAGGTGGGGGGATACGTTTTCCTTCTTTTTCCTGAGTAAACTGCATGGTTTCACAAGCAGCCTTTGACAGCCGGGGTACGTACTGGCTGAATGTCTCAGGGGCCGGCCAGAAGGAATGAGCTTCCCCAGAAACGGGAGAGGGCAGCAGAAAGAGCTAACCCAGAAACATCAGGCAAGTAGGAGTACAGATACTCAACCGACTAGGCTGTAAGGGGTAAGGCAGGCAATCTATATAAGCCTATATAACACGTGAATGCCATCTGAGCAATACCTCATGTTCTGCTATAGCTACAAGGGGTAAGGCAGGCAACCTATATAAGCCAGCGTGAAACACGTGAACGCCATCTGAGCAATACCTCATGTTCTGCGCTGTCGTGACTCTTCACCATACATGAACATGTCTCTTTTAGGAACTGTAACCATCACGTATTGAAATGCACATTTGGAGAGCTCTCACTACTGAGGACAGGACAGTCTGTCAACAAAGAGCTCTGGCTAATGAAATGCACACAGCCCGCTAAAGCCCGCTAGGTTGAACCTGCTCACTTCAGCGCTGCCTCTCGCCCTGAATGCCTCAGCAGTTTGCTTGTAATCCGGCAGAATATCCATGTTAAATCTTAGTTCCTGACTTGTCCCATGCACAACTCCTCTTATCAGCGTAATCCAAAGTCAGGAGAGAAGTCAGGCACCACCAAGCTGAAGACCTGGAGGGCCCATTATGATGATCTAGCCTTACTTCCCTGGAAAACACAGGCCATAACATTTCAGCAGGGGATTTCTTTGTCAAAGGTTAATAACTTGATGAATGGAAAGCTAATCTGTTCTTAAGGCACCCAATCTTGATTTAAAGGCACAAAGTAATAAAGAATTTACCATATCCCGTGGATTGTCATTCGCTAAAAATACTGTCACAGGGCTTCACTTTGAATTGTATCAAAGCTAATTGCAAAAGCAGACCAAAAAATGAAAACACCAATCATGGAAATGGAATATGTATATTTAAAGGGACAAAAAAAGATTTAGGGGGAAATTTTCAATTTTACGGGAGTTTCTGGTCTTAACTTGAGGAAAGTATGCATAGAGAGTAGTACTTGCTACTCTGAAATAGAACAGACCGTGACCTTGTTTACTAGGAATACTTTTTGCAATGGAAACATTGCAAAAAGTATTGCTGAAGTGTAGACCCTGTTGTGGTCCATATTTACCCTTTCATGTTTGTGCTAAGTTTACATTCATAGTAATGTGAATTTTGTCTTTTTCTTAAGGAAAGAATATGAATCATGAAGTATGTGTGGATGTTTCTTAAAATGAAACCCAGGCCGCAGAGTTGTCTGGATAGGGATTATTAGTTTGAAATCTCCTGTTCCTTAAGGAATTACAAATCAATAGAGATGTACTGTTATAGTGTCTCCTTGAACCATTTATGCAACTCCTGACAGTGTGAGTTTCCACAGATTTGATTTTCTGTAGTCATTTTTCAAACACCAGTATTACACATCAGCTGTAAAGAAGGTGAGGCTAAGTATGACAAGAACTCTGAGTTGGTAGCACATATGCCTGCATGTGATATAAAACAATAGAGAATCCTGTAGATACAGATTTTTTCTTCTGTCACTCAAAAAGCAGAGAAGAGCATAGGAGTTCCTCAGTCACAGAGTGCTATGGGCAGTCACAATATTTACAAATCCCTCCAGGTAAATCAGGGAGAGGACACTAAGCACAGGAGTAGAGTGCACTTCTTTGAAAAACTGCCTTGAGAGAGATCCTCAGCCCTTTAACTGTGCTTCTCAAAGAGTGTGACTAAAAACAAGCTTTTCCAGCTATGTCCCATTAAGGGTTTAGGTGTTATAGCCAGACATCTCATTTTAGGTGTCTGGCCCCAAGCGGAGTAACGCTGTATTAGGCACAAGGGCACCCTGTGCAGCATGTGAAGACCCTTGTATAGCTTTGGTAAACAACTGAAAATCTGCACTTGAGCAGGAAGCTCCTAGAGCCAGGCTAGGAGGAGTGCCTAAGCAGGGAGATAAACTCCAGTCTCTCCAGCACCCAACTCAGGGCCACAGAAAAGCCCTTCCACCCAGGCAGATGCAGGCTGCATATGTTCCTCAAGGGACTGAGCCAGCCTGTTAAGAAACAGCTGAGCTAGGAGGCAATAGTTTCTGGAATTTTTTGTTTGCAGGTTATATATATAAAGAAAGACTTTCTTAACATAAATAGGCCCTCTCTTAGGAAAAGACCCTACTCACCAAGGGTCAGAGCAGATGTGACCATTCCGGTTGAAGCTGCGCAGCTAAGAATGCAAGACTCAAAGGGACAGAAAGAGTGAAAATTTGACTCTGAGCCTTGATGGTCAGGGAATGCTCCTGGGAAAAACCTGGCTTCTGGTCTGCTCCCAAGACAGGCTCAATAGTCCCAGTACCAACCACAGGCATGCTTTGCCAGGGCTGGGAGCCGGTACGATCACAGCACGTGTGCCCCGTCCTTACATTTTTTCTCACGCATCCCACACTGGCGACACTCAGACAAATGGTCCTTTCATGTGATCCACAGAGTAGTTTTTTATGGCATC